AAGCCAAGGCCCTCACTTTTCAAGCAAGGCTATTAAGATGTTTTGGAGATCATTAATTCATAGGGTTGCCATGAGCTGGAAGGGACCTGCCAGCATTTAACACATACATACAATCTTGTAAGAGTGAGGTACCACTCAATTACTCAGCACTTAAATTCTCCCTCTATCTTATGCCACTTCTTAACTTATTAGCTCTAAGCAGATTACTAAAATATAAAAGGCTAGACCTCATTTGAACAGCTGCAAAAATCTTTCACAAATGCATAAAATTATGCAGCTAAAAGAATGATAGTCTGTTATTTTATTCTAATTAAAGAAACAATGTCTCCATATAATCTATATCTTGGAGCAAAGGAAGAATTAAAAGACTTCTAGGCTCAAAAAAGTAATTACATTCAAAGATCACGTGATACAGAGTGTCTACACTACCTGTGCTGCAGTCGCATACTCTATCAGAGTATGGTATCTAAAGTTGCCTCCCGTGCAAGACTCTGGATGGTAAGGCACACGAGCATAAAGGCATGCCTATACTGAGGAACAGTCAGATATGAGCAGTGATCAGGAAGCTCCCCAGGTGGAACAATGTCAGCAAATTGAGTAGAGCAAACATGTCATGCTCTACAGATTGTATTGTTGCAATTGTGCTTAAGTAGATGTTTCTTAATTGTTCTCATAGCTTCCTGTTTGGTAACTGAATAAAGGGAGTCCAAGGGAAGACTGAGGAACTGGAGTTGTTGCTCAGGAAGTTTTTCCTAATGGGAAACACGTGAATCCTCTCTGACTAATCTGAGGTAGCCCTCTTGGGTGTCAGAGTGTATAATTTTAACTTGAAAGGGAAAAACTTTCAACCAAGCCCAAGCTTCAGGAAATGGGTGTCTAAATTCAGCTCAGAGGGGCACCCCTGCTACACAGTTTGGAATTCCAGAGATGGAACCCTGGGATTTAAAAAGGATTGAGTCCATGGATCAATCCAGATACCAGCTCCATATAAACTTTGTGCAGCCACCTTAGTGTTAAACAGTTTGATAGTGGCTAGGATATACTGTTAAACAAGAGATAATATTTAATGCTGCTGTTTGTAATCTTTTAACATGAGCAGCTTGCATTGACCAAGTTAATCTCTGGTCAAGCCAACCCCCTGGGTATTTAAAATAGGGACCTCCTCATGAATTTTCCACTTGTGGCGTACATGATATCCCCCCCCCAAAAAAACCCCCATACAACCTTGAGTTAACTATCAGACATTCTTCCAGACAGTAGGAGAGGACAGTCCTGATGTTGTTCTCGATAGGAGAACTACATCATTAGCAAAAAGTAGGATAAAAACGTTAACGTTAGCAATGGATGGAGAATAACAGTCCTGGGCAGAGACAGCAGAAATCATATCACTAATATATAAATTAAATAATAAAGGGGCCAGCACACACCCCTGACACATCCCTGCTGTAGAGAAATTACATTAGAAAGTTGTCCATCTAACCTATAACGGATTTGTGCAGTGAGATTAGAATCCAGAATATCGATCAAAGCCTCTTGTCAATAGATGATAATTTTAGTTTGTGCCACTATTGTGCATGAGGTACGGTATCAAAAGCTACCTTCAACTCCACAAGGACAGTGGCAAGGATCCCTTGTCTCTTGGTTGTATATTTATTGAGCAAGAACTATAATGGATATATTTTGGAATGTACGTTTATTTTTTATCATTAATTTTATTTTATTAGTGATTTATTTTAATTTTGAAAATTCTCAATAATATTAGTTTGATTTATTACTTGATTTTTAGGCCCCCTCAATACCTTACATGACCAACTGCGATACAGATTCCTTCACATAATGTGTATTTGGTATTAAATTGGGACCAAATTTGTATTAAATTTGGGGCCAAGATGCATCTGGTCTGATTTCATAAGTTCATTGTTTCCAGTCTGCATCTCTAAGAATATACTGCTTTGTATGTAATTTGTACTGCAAAGTGTGCTACTAAAAGTATACATTATTGTATGTAATTTGTACTGCAAAGTGTGTGATTTGCCTAGCCTAAAGGCTTATTTTGTTTTAATGAACCATTTAAGTACATTGTGATGTTAAAGATACATTTTATGTAATTTTATTTATTTATTTAGACTTCTATCCCACCCTCCTCCGCTACACAGTGCTCAGGGCAGGTTACAATAAGTGAATAAAACAGTTAAAACAGTTAAAACATTCTTCCAGTTAAACTATGCAAACAAACAATTAATACAAGATACAAGATGGCAATCAGGCATAGGAGCACAATGTTCCCACAATTTTCACATGGGCATATGCCCACAGTCAACCAAATACTGGGTATTGAGCAAAATCACCACCGGTAATCTCTGATTGGATGGTATAAGAGGACAGAGCAGGGTGAAACATATATATGCTTGTACCCACAACCTTGTATATATGTGTTGTGGGATTCTGGGGCCAGGTCTTTTCCTGGGACCTGCAGTTCCCTTTAGTTCTTGGATTGGTTGGGTGGAGACTGGCAAGGGGCTGAATCTAGTATATATAGAGAGACCAGGGTTCTTAAACAAAACTCAATTTATTCCATTACACATGTTCAGTATTCAACACAGAATATTTCAACACAAACCCAATATTTAAAATAGTGCACTTGTATAAAACTCAGAATGTTCTGGACTAGCCACCAATTTTTCACATGCAGCTGTTGATGGCCAACCCCAAATAAATGAATCTGTAACAATTTATACCCTCTGGCCTATTGGCTCAATAGAATGGCTGATATATGAATAACACCCTCCATTCTTCTTGGGGATAGTGCTTGTTTAGTTAGTATTAGGTTTTTGCCTGGGCTATCCAGGTAATGGCTCAGTTGAAGAGCCTGTGCTTGGCATGCAAGGTTCTAATACAATTTTATTCTGAAGTCATACCACAGATGGGAAGGATAGATACCCTAGATCAGGGTTGTCAAACATACAGCCCGTGGGCCAGAACCAGCCCACCCAGAGCTTTAATCCAGCCCATGGCTCTCTTCTCCTACCACCCCTCCCCTGCCTGTCCTCAGCCTTCTGAGCTGCCACTGAGCAGAGGGCAGGACTGCCAAACTTCCCAGTTCCCAACCACGTGGATTGGCTTGAGCTGTTTATTTAAGTCTGCTGTATAAAAAGGAGGGAGCTTGATCATTAACACTGCTGTGCTTCTGGGTGGTTTTCTGTTGTATTAAGTGAGTTTGAGGCTGCAGCAACTTGAGCGTGTTAGAGCTGTTTATTTCTTTAAGTCTGCTGTGTGTGTGTGGGGGGGAGAGTTTGGTCATTAATGTTGCTGTGCTTCCAGGTGGTTTTCTGTTTTATTAAGTGAGCTTGAGGCTGCAGCAACGTGAGCATGTTAGAGCTGTTTATTTCTTTAGGTCTGCCGTGGGGGGGGGGAGAGTTTGGTTACAAATATTGTTATGCATATTGATAGAGGCTTTTCTCTTGTGTTTATTGAGGTTGACACAGGAGCCACCTAGGTCTGCTAGGGTTCTGGATTATCAATAATTCCTGTCCCTCCATTCTTCTTGGGGGTAGTGTTTGTTTTAGCATTAGGTTTTTGCCTGGGCTATTCAGGTCATGTCTCAGTTGAAGAGCTTGTGCTTGGCATGCAAGGTTATATCCCAGGCACCTCCAGTTAAAAGAACCAGGCTGTGGCTTATTATGAGAAAGACTTCAGCCTGAGACCCTGGAGAGATCTGGAAGGGAAGAGAAGCTTACAATGCCCAGCCATTTCACGTTTTCCCTTGGGTCCTAGGCTTAGAATATTAACCATGAGAGAAGGCTGTGGAAAGTAATGTAGGATTCTCTGCACAAGCTGAGACACTGCCACTGTCAGGCTTCAAGGTGGGTGGTTAGGCTGGGGAAGTTTCAGCAATGGGAGAGGATATGGGATCCCTCCCCCGTAGGCTGAAGCCAAAAAGGAGAGATCATGGGAGGAAGTGGAAATCCAAAAACAACATCCATGACAAAAAAGAAAACATTCCATGTCGACTCTCTAATCAGCTCTTGAAGAGCTGATAAGTAGTATAAGTATAAGAATTGTGATTGCTACACGCTCAGATAAAGCAATTATTGTGAATCAAATTGTTTACACTGCACAGCATTTGTTGCGTGTGAGTGATAATAGAAGATAATTTTCTACTACAGTAAATGATTTTGTAACATATCTTTATTGACTCTTCATTATTTTTGTCATGGATGTTGTTTTTAGATTTTCCCCACCTGGAGGTTGGCAACCCTATTTACAGCTCAGCCTGATAAAGTCCCATTTCTGTCAGATCTGGCCCCCATAACAAATGAGTTGGACACCCCTACCCTGGGTAGTTAAGGTTGTCATGTGCAAAATAGAGAGTCATCATAGATAGCATATCAAAGATCATTCTAAGGATCAAAGAACCTTATCAGTAAGTCAGAAACTACAGACCTTCACACTGGAAGGCACTGATGTAATATGAAGATGAAATGATAAACCTAGAAAAATGTAAACTATCCTATTTAGGACAGAGTGCCTTTTCTCCAGCAGTGCTTGCTTGGGAACAGCTAACAACAAAGCTTTATGAGAAAGAACTAAAGATTCAGCCATAGAATTTAATACAAAATGTGTTTGCAGGGGACTGAGGCTCAGTTAAGGCTCCAATTCCGCAACAATATGCTTGTGCCTACAACCTTTTAGTTATCCCATTCCATGTTTGGGTCGGGTTTTGCCCCTTCTTTTGTGTTGCCTGACTCTTAATTACTATGCCATGCTGGTCTGGCATTATCAAGATTCCTTTGAAAGTTCCAAACTAATTAGCAGTAATTTTATATAAGAAGACTGGAATTGCTGCTGTTTTGAGCTCCCATGCATAGATACAATTGACAACTCCATATGTATTTACCTGTAGGCCTGTGCTGACTATTTTTAATATAAGCAGCTAATAAAGGATGACTGGCAAGCAGGACATGAGCTGAAACAGCAGATGATCAAGCCTGACCATATCACAGGGAGCTAGAGGAATACAACAAAGTCAAAGATGGCTTGGATGGTGCACATACATGGGTAAGCTAATTCTTCTTCTATCTGGAATGTCTTGTCTTTTTTAAAGTAAGAAATATATGTGTTCCCTTTCTATTAAAAATATTGAGATGGTTTTTAAAATGATAATGGTTTTAGTGTTGTTCACAGCTCTTTGTATTACGGGTTTACCTGAAGGTATACAAGACATAGGAGTGAAAGGAATTTCATGGCATGCACCATAAATTTAGGTACTCTCCACTTTTAGACACTCTTCAAGTAAAATTGGAATAACACGTGTAGTAGAATTTGGGACACAGCTAAGCCACTAACACATGAGAGTATAACAAAATAAATCTTTATTGCTCCCTCTGTTGATAAGATTAGTGGGTACATTTTGCACAGTCATGTAGTAGAAATAGTAGTAACAGCAGCTATAGTTGGACAGCCAAGTTCAGGTCTTGCGGGGCTTTCTATGCATTTAAGAGATGAATACATGGACATTTCCTGTTACTGGAGCAATGGGAGAAAATCTTCCTTCTATGCAACTTTTAAAAGCAGAAGAATTTTCTTTGGGTCTGCATCTGACACCCTAATTATGAAAGTATATTATGAACAACAGCTTAATATTTGCTATGATGGGCACCTTTTGTGATTTCTTTTGTACATTCTGCTTTCTTGTCTTTTAGTATTCTGATATTCCAGCCCCAAAGTATTTAATTGAAACCATGTCACATTGTTTACACTGAAGCTTACTTGGAAATAAGAACAGGATTATAAACCAACTGCATCAGTTTCAAAATTAATTGAAATAAATTCTTTTAAAATAAATAGATCATCGGGCCAAAACCTTCGTGTGAAGTTGGTTTGCTATTGAAATGTAAATGTCCTTAATGTTGCTGTTTCATCAGCTAGATTCCCTGCTACCATGTAAATCTACTATCCAAATATTGAGCATTTTAAGATGTTAGGCAGTGCATTACTTTTGAAACTACCAATGCTGTTTTACCTAGGTCTAGAATATGGCTGGCTGTGGCAGTGATAAATTTAATCCAACAGTCTACTCACTCAGAACTATCTGGAAGACACTTGAATCCTGAAACTTTCATGACAATTGTAAGTAATTTATTCAGGTGCCTTTTGATACCAAGTGTTGTGTCACTGTGATAATAAATAGTATGATGTCCTTTTGAACTGTGTTTCCAGAACAGGTATTTTCACACCTGTAAAGTTAAAGATACACTGCAGGGAGGGCATTAATTGGCTTAAAACAAAAGCAGTGATTAGGGCACTGGAGTAGAAGCTGTCATCCCTGTGCTCAAATCCCCATCCTGACATGCAATAGACCATGGGTCAATCACCTTCTCTTACTCTGAACTACTTTACAGGGTTGATGTGAGGTTAAAATATAGACAGTGGGGGAACTGTATATATCCCTCTAAACTCCTTGGAGGAAGGATGGGATAAAATGTAATAGGTAAGTCTGATAAGCTTACTTTAACTTAGACCTTTTCCGCATACTCGAATTACTCAGGAGTCAATCCACCAGCACTGGAACTGATTTGGGCAGGGTTCTTCCTCAAGTCTGTCCCCCTGTGCATTTTTACTGTTGTGGAGTCAGTTTATTTTCTTCTGCACTTGGCTTAAATAATTAGGTTTTTCAAGTTAAGTTACTGGTTTTGTTATTGGTGGCATCAGAACACCCCCTTTTTTTAAAAAAAGAGCTCTAACATATTTAAATAACAGGGTAGTATTGTAATGATATTTTAAGTAGATTGTCTGAATTCCCAGCTTTTATTTCTTTAAAAAACTAAGTCTCTAGTACCTTCCCTTGCAAAGATATAAGGAAAAGGGTATATCTTTGTGAGGGGAAGGGATAGAGACTTTTTTTTAAATGAAAGCTGGAAATTCACATAATCTGTTTAAATGATCATTACAACACTACAGCATTATATTGATATGTTATGGCCTTTAAAAATTGAAATAATTCATATGCGGGGGGGAGAGAATGGTTTAATGAAGATGGGAGACCAGTCATTGAAAGGTGGGCTGGAGGTGGGTGGGACAAAGAAAACCTATAGAAACATTACATACTAGGAAAAAGCCAACTCAAACTGGCTTCCACTGTTCTGGTTCCGGTGGCGCTCCTGGCGGATACATTGCAGTGTCACTCCTACCCTTTTTTGGTGGATACAAGATAAGTTTTTACTTTTTGTTTAAGATACTGCTCCCTTGAAGCCGGCAGTTCTTATAAGGAAAATATGCATTTAATTCTGGCTTTGATATCTTATCTGGGCAGTTTATTTCGTCTTTCTAAAAACTGGGGTTACTAACCTTGAAAGATGTGCAGCTGGGCGATATTTGCAGAACAAGCCATGGAAGTTTCAGCTGAGAGCTGAAGACTGAGAGGTGAAGTTCTGTGTCTGCTAGCTATCAGACTGAGTGTGGGGCTGTTTTCTGTTATTAGAAATGTGTGCTTATAAAAGACCATGCAGCGATGATGGGTTAAGTGAAGCTAACAAATGCATATTATAAGAATCTGTAAGACAGCATACCAGTAGCTAGCCAGGGAAAGTGATTTGCTTTAAACTGGTTTCGTTTATGTACCTATAGTTTCTTAAGAGATATTAGAAGCATTGTGTGAGATAAGTTTTAGACATGTGTTGGGAAAGATGGAGGTGGGATACCTGATTATTAACAAGTACTTGAATTAATAGAATGAAGGGTGCAAAGAGTTCCACAAGTCTGCCGGATATCCCAGCTAGCATAGGAACATCTTCTAATACCAGCAGTTAGGTTACATTGTTACTCCATTGTGATGGAGAAGACATTCTGTACATGTCAAGGATCTTTTCTTCATCTGTTTACCTCTTGGCATTGAGAACATAGTCCATCCTTTTTGCCACCATTCTCTCCGCAGTGTGATCTGGCTGAGCTTTCCTGGGTTGTGAAGGGGCTTTTATCTCAAGACACAGATGGTATTGACTCAACAAACATACTAGCCTGTTGTGATTCCTCTGCAGTACATTTTACAAATGAAATTGCTTGCAGCTGCCATGACCACAGTTGGGCTGGTTCAGTCTCAGGATGCTATTGGAGTATAGTGTGGTCTTAGTTGTATGGGTGACTTTCAGTAGGTGAGGCCTGATGAAGTGGATAGGGCACTTCAAAACATGCAACATATTTGCCTTTCATGTCTAATGGTATCATGCCAGGCTGGGTTGGCTGACTGTGTCACCAGGAGGTAATAAATGCCTCTCTGAGCAAAAACCCTCCTGAAAAAGGCATCCCCGGACCCAAATGACATAAACAAATACTGCCCAGTGGCTAAAATTCCATTCTTGGGCAAGGCGTTCAAGAAGATAGTGGATATACAGTTTGAGGTGGTCTTGGTGTTACCCCTATCAGTGTAAATTTAAGAAGCTGAATCACTTCCTTCAGTTTCTGGGGAAATTTAGCTAAATGGCAGGCCTCAGCAAGAGGTAGGGTACAAACGAGTATCTACTACCTATATCTACGTGGATCTTTCCCTTTAGGAGAGCTCTCAATAGCTAGTCCAAAGGTAAAATACAGAATGTTTTATTGAAGGGAAATTAAAGAATTTAACACACGAGCACAGATGGAACGTACACACATCCAATATCTATAGAAAATGAGAGAAGTGGGAGAGTATTGGGGAGTGAGGCAATACCGACCTTTCCTGCCGATGTCTGTGAAGAAGGAGAGATGGCAAAACAACCAGTGCTTCAATGAGAGGAAGGACCCAGTATACTGGGTGTGCGTGTTGGTAGGTGCCCAAGACAACGCAAACACAGCAATGGGGCCGTGCTGGGCTAGTTATACCCAAATATGTGTCCAGAGGGCTTGTTAATGTGTGGAGTCCCTCAGAACAAAGCATTGATGAGATTAATCAGGGATAAAACAATGTAGTTTGGAAGTGCTGTATAGAGTTCCCAGGAGTGGACAAAAGATACTCGAAATTCACTTCTAGATGCAAAGTTCTGACATTCTAGATGCAAAGTTCTGACAGAAACTGCTCTTTCAAGAACAGCTCTGACAGGACGATGGCTTGCCCGAGGTCGTCCAGCAGCTGCAAGTGGAGGAGTGGGGAATCAAACCCAGTTTTTCCAGATTAGAGTTCACACACCTAACCACTACACCAAACTGGCTCCAGGCAGGCTTTCTAGGCAAGCTGACATGTGCAGAGCATACATACAGCTGATTTCAGTAATTCCTCCGGTGTATTCTAATTTGCATATTTCCCAGCTCTTACTTAGGTCACCTGGAAGAATCTTTAATATTTAGTCATCTTCCCAGTTCAGTCAACTCAGCTAGTTCTGAAAACCAGATGTGCATCTATACTCAGTAACTGCAGGCTCAGCTCTACCCATTATTATAAGAGGAACTGTTAAAGAGATGAGGAGTCAGCAAGATGAATTGGCCTCTCAGGTTGTCTTAAAGTATGGGCCTCAAGGCCTGGAGTGGGATGTACAGGAAATTAAGGGAGCGGTTCCTATCAGCTATTTACGGGAAGGGAGATAATATTCTTGCTTTTTATAACTGCTTTCTTACTTTTTGCAGTATATTGGACTGTGTTCCTGTGACAAATCAAAAGGTTCTGCTTTTGTGAGCACTTACTCAGGAGTAAGCCCTGCAGTGATAAAATTTACAGTTTAGGGACTTCCCCTTGTGTCTTAGTGTTAAGGAACTGGTAATTTCTGGACTTGCCCTAAGGCTGTATGACCTTGGTTTGTTCTAGAACAGGGCTTAGAGACTGCTGCTTAAGTCACCGGGCAAACCTATCATGACTGGAATGTAGTAGTGGATGGATATGAGTTGTTCAAGAAAAATGGAAAGGCTTGAAGAGAAGGTGAAGTGGTGCTGTATGTGAGGAGAGGGTTTTCGTGTCAGGAAATACTGGAGGAGGTGGGTGATGGCCCAGTGGAAAGAACCTAGGTGAGGATAAGGGAAAGAAGGACAAACAGTATTGTGACTGGAGTCTCTTACAGACTGCCTGCCCAGGATGAGGAGGTAGATGCTGTGCTGCCCTCTTTGAGCAGCTTGACAGTGTATCCAAGCAACATGACCTTGTAGTTATAGGTCTTTCCTCCAGGGTTGGGGACAAGGGGAGCAGCTGTGATAGGACAGTTGCATACATTAAAAGAAACCTTTTGAGGGCCCTCCCCCAACATGATAAAAAATGTGGGTTTTGGTTGGAGATGCAGAAGAATACACAAAAAATAAACCGGGGGGGGGGGGACATTTGCAGAGGGTAGGCAAACAAATCCAAATTCAGGCATTAAGGGCTGCTGCTCAAATTCTCCATAGTAAGCTGTGAGTGCAGAAGGGTCCAATATTATTTTTTTGCAATCACAAAAGTGAACCAGCTTGTTCTGGCAATTGCCCTACCTTGTGAGGTAGGTGAGGCTGAGAGAGGTCTGAGAGAACTGTGACTGGCCCAAGGTCACCCAGCAGCAGGGGCGTAGACTTTCCAATTTCCCGGGGGGGGGGCCTGGGCCTGGGCCTGGGCCAGAGGCACAAGACAGTGGTAGAACCTCCTAACAATGGACAATATTGTAGGTAGTGGGTGTACAACAATCTATGTACAAGAGAGACAGAGAGACTGTGTTGCCATTTTAGCCTAGTCCCATGTAATATGGAACCCACTGAATTCTTCATTTATTATGATGACCAGCACGCCGGCGGGGTTAAATAGTTGCCCAGAAGCCCGGCCGGGTCCGTCTCCTGCTCCCTAACTGGCGGGAAGTTCTGTGTCAAGCAGTATTTCCTTTGGTCCGTCCTGAACCTCCTGCCCATCAGCTTCACTGGATGCCCTCCAGTTCTAATATTTGGGGAGAGGGAGAAAAAGTTCTGTTTGTCACCTCTCCGCCGCCCCAGGCTTAATCTTACCAACCTAGAAACTGCTCTTTTTCAAGGACAGAACTGTGGCTTGCCCAAGGTCCTCCAGCCAGGTGCAAGTGGAGGAGTGGGGAATCAAACCCGGTTCTCCCAGATTAGAAGAAGAGGAGATTGAATTTATGCCCCGCCCTTCACTACCCAAAGGAGTCTCAGAGCGGCTAACAAACTCCTTTCCCTTCCCCTCCCCACAACAGACACCCTGTGAGGTGGGTGGGGCTGAGAGAGCTCTGACAGGAACTGCTCTTTTTCAAGGACAGCTCTTGTCAGAACTATGGCTTGCCCAAGGTCATCCAGCAGGTGCAAGTGGAGGAGTGGGGAAT